CCCTCAGTTTGCTCTAAACTGAGAAAAGCACACGTTCCTCGGAATTGGTGGTCTATTTCCAATGTCGGTACCTAGCAAATATTCCCGCCGTACGCAATTTTCAAAGAAACACCACTATTGTTGATCGAGCAGAGAGGCCATCCCTATGCCGTCACTGTTCCACTGTTCAATGCTGGGATTACATGCCTTACAATTCTGGTGAATGTTTTTGCAGCTGTAGCCTGTGACGAACGTGGATCCATTCTTGCCTGTTGCAAAGCGTAGCAGTTACTTGCTGTTGCGCTAGCTCATCACCATCTCCCCCTATAGGCAGCATGGCTGTGGATCATGTCACTTCCTATGCGCATAAAGGAATGCTGTAAGCAACACCAAATTCCTGGATCACACACATCCTTCTTCCCACATCACATCGACACATCTTCCTTCTTCCCGTTTCCCGGTGATTCCTCTTCACGTGAAGTGATGCTAGTGCTGTCTCCGAGACTGGCTGTAATCAAAAACACCACTACTTTCCACAATAATTTCTCCCTTACCAGTACACTTCCTCTTGTCCTGTTCTACAGTGCGTACCAAAAGTATGAGGACACCATAGAATTGATTCCTTAGGAGTCAGTTAAAAGCTTTTTGTGTTATGGAACCTTCGCCATTCAACTCGTAGTGGCCGATAACCTACAATGACATTCTCGGCAAAAGAGTTCGTTCTAATTTAGCGAACTATTTTTCATGGAATTATTTTTCTTTGTGTCAAAAGTATGTGGACACCCTGAGGCAGATTAAGTTTTTGCATCGATTCCTTAACCTATTTTTACTTCTGCTTTCGTTACTTATTCTGGCATCACTCCTCTTCACGGCAAGCGTTTTTCTGAAGAAGACCAAGCACAGAAATGTGATCCCTATGTTTCTGTACCTTTCTATTGCGAATTAGCACGCCAACCAGTCATGCCTCCTCGTATGTTTGGAGAGAAATCCGAAATCCTGATGCTAAGCTCTCGACCTTGACTGAGGGTTGTTCTCAATCGCTTTCTCAAATTTTTCTTCTCGTAATACTCAACTTTACGCATAACTGATCTTCCCGATCTTAAAAAAAGGCCATTCGGTGCCTCATTCAATCAAATGAGAGCACGACACGAAAGAAGATGAAGAAGGCTTCGTATATGAATGCGGCTTCAGGTTGGCAAGGTTGGAATTCCCACTTAAAAAAAGGATCGCAACATGATAATTTGAACCAACACAGACAGTGATTTCGTGGAAATGGTAAAATTAGTATAAAAGACTTTCTGTGGAAATTTCTCTTATAGGCCAATTCGACTGGCAGAAAGAAGCTTATTCCTTGCTATTCGGGTGGGTCTTGTGGTTTTTGAAGAGACTTTAGTCGGATCCGCAGATGTGCTCGAGGAGACAATTCGGAAGATGTTCATCAAAGGTCTGGGTTGGTTCCAAAAGGAGGGGCAAATTGGAGCTTGGCTTGCCAACATGCTAGGTGGACAACTAGGATTATAATGAGGTGCTTGAGTCCCGGCTACATTTTTCGAAAAGTTATCGTCGCAAATCACTTGTTTTGCAGGAGAGGTCCCTGACACCATTCCATTTGGAAAAAATGCTAAACGCCACGGCTTTGATTGGCAAGTCGGCTAACGTATTCCTCAGACTTCATCTTATTGAAAATGTAGAGGTCTCGTGGTTCGCGGTCTTTACCTCACTGAACTAAAGAGTAATATCACAAGTGACCTAACACGTCGAAATTTGCTAGTTGGGAACAGATCTGCAAGACATGAATCCAGAGCCGGTTCATAGCATACCAAACAGAATGGCTCAACTTACTATAAACTTGGTAGGCCTCCCGATTTCAGATTCTGGAGATATTGCCGTTTTTCGAAAAGTGCACATGATTCTTATACAAAGAAAAAACTTTCCATGAAAAATAGTTCGCTAAGTTAGAACGAAATCTTTTGCCAAAAAATGTCGTAGGTTATTGACCACTAAGACCCAAACTCCTGCTTTTGCGTGGCCAGTCCCTTTGGCTCTAAGATTAAAACAGTTGGTGATATATGAAGGTCACCCTCAAGTTTTGCGAACCAGTGCGGAATGAGTGTCTCACCCGTAATGGGATGATAGCGCCGAATGCTATAAGCTTATGCTTCATTCTCTGAAAAACGCGAGTATGCGAGCTTCGAATTTTCTTACGCCCTACAAATTGAATCTGTATAAAATCGTGAGCAAGGTGAGCGAGCTGATAAAGAAAGAGTTTCGAGTTGTACCAGATCTTTCCCGTAAAGACTCCGAATCACAGGCTTTTTCTTGTCCCGAAATGTTCTTCTGAGCCTTCGAGGCGGCTCAAGTGGCTCTTTCTTTTACAAAGGTGTGGAGCATAAAAGGATAAAGCATCTGCCGTTGATCAATCCCTTTTGGGATGAGGCACGCATTCTACTTCCATTTCTACATTCGTAGTGGCGTTTGAATGCGATGTGGCGTATACAATGACTTGCGGGGGCCAGCCGATGTACAAGTCAGTGTTTTTATCCTCCCAGACAAGTCTGGCACCAATCAACCGACCCCGGAGGGATGGAAGGCTTGGTTGGCCCGGGCGGCTCACGACCCAGGATTTGATCCTCGGACCGCTCGCGTGGTGAGCGTGCCACTTGCCACCACACTTCCGCCCTTACAAAGGTGTAGTCTTAAAAAATCGGGTTGCCTGCTAAGCAACATTTGTGCCTCTGTTGATCAGATACGACAGGTTTGCAGTGCTACAGCGTGTTTCAAATTTACGGTAAGCGCGAGTGCGCGCACAGTAAAATCCACACTTTTTCAAATCTCCCCATTTTCGCCTACTGGGCATACTATGATAGAAAACAATGTCTTTTTTCTTTGAACCATATATCATACCATTCCCAAAATTGTTGAAACAACCACATCACGGAATACCAGTCCTCAAACTGAATAGACAACTGGTTCTGGCACGGTATATAAGGCGTCAGTTCAACGAAACAGAGAAACTCGAATAGCAACGACTGTACGTCATGTGGATGTTCGAAGTCAGTAGATGGAAAGGGTGGCTATTTGAAGCCAAGAAGACCACCATAACATATGTGCAAAAACTCGTACTCCTCCGCGCGACTTATGAAAAGCTGAAGCTAAAGGCCTCCTGGCCACTCTAAAGACTCAACAAACTCAAGTCTAAACTGTCGTAGACAAAAAGCTAAGAGAGTGCCTCAGCTTAGTTTCAACAGAAGGGAGCATGCAGTCATGAGGCACGACTTCTGTAGAGGCATTCGAGGAACTATCACCTAAATCCCTCATCGAAGTCTGCTGGATTTCCTGAATAGTAAAGTAGGAAGCAATAGCAGATAGATTTTTTTAGCTTTGTCGTTAGGTAAAGGTTCGTTACTATTGACATAATACATATAATTCATAATTATAGGTTCCTAAGATAATGCATTTTTAGAACCACCAGCCGACTAGTGATTTTTCCTTCATTAAAATGATTCCCCACTACGAATAACCCCTGTATCGCAGTTTTGGCGGGAGCTGCTTTTCTTCGAACTTTTCATAATTATTTTTTAGTTTTTGCAGCGTTTCATAATAATATAAAGTCACCCAAGAAAAAGAACAATTACCTAAGATTAATGACATATAAAAACGTAATAATCTATGGTTACTCCTTTATTAAGGACAACGCCGAAGAGCCTCCGTGGCCTACTGGAACTGAGATTCCAAGGCAGATGACCATCGATTCACATTCGTACTTCACTGGTTCCCTTTTCAGCTCTTTCAAAGTCCCTAACTGGCGTTTATGCGCATGACTCTTTATGCCGGAGATGCCCCTGAGGTATTCCACCAAAATAAAGATCTTCAGAATAATCTGTTTAGTATATTTGAGTTTCGAGAGAGATGATGCTTCTGGTTGAGTGACCTGCATGGGTACCTGTGCTGTACCGTAGGACTACGTTGGCTAGCCGATTTCATCAGAGGTTGGATGTCCTTCCAAGGCTCCACGCTAATCTTTGGAGTCCATTATGCAGTTCATGGAAGCGAAAGTTTGACACAACATCATTACAAAGAGCACCCACACCTTTCACATCTCCCTAACTAAAATTGCAAGCGCTGAAGTGAGTAGGCCACCCTCGCAAATCACTGCAAAAAAGCTTATCTCCGCAGAAACTGTTTGTTTGAGCCAGTTTTGTCCGAAAAATAACAACTGTACTGGAATTATCTTAGTGGTGTGCGATTGTGGCGCAGGCTCAACTTTGTTCCTTCTCTCTCCAAGTTACGGGTAAAAGCAGTGAAACCTTGCGATGGCCAGTGAGCATTTGAACCATCTTTGTCGCTTTCCTGGTAATGTTGCTGCATCATTTCACCTAGTGGCTCTCCAATACATTTTTTCAAGATAAACATTGGATTAGGCAGGACGCCGATTTCAAGCAGAAATGCTGTTTTAGACAGCCCACATAACTCTTCTCTAATTACGTGTAGAGACCTTTTTGTGAACGTTCCAAATTTGTAGAATATCTGGAGAAGTAGGAGCTTTTCGATTATCCATGAGCGGTGCTTATGACTGTTCGAAACGCTTTTGAAAGACCCTTGAACCGTGCCTAGCACCATGAAATGCATAAACTTTACCTTTCCTTCAAAAGACGATTACGAAACACTCCATAAATTTAGCTAATTGGTGTGTTTGCAACAAACATTCAATTTCACACGCACGCTGGTTGTTTCTGGTTATGCAGGGTGACCTTACAATTATGAAACGGTGCAAAAACCGAAAAATAGTTATAGAATAGTCAAAACAAAAGATGCTCCCGTCGAAATTCGCTCCAGGGGTATTTCTTGATGAGGAATAGGCTTATAATACTAGAAAAATTACCAGTCTGCTGCTTGTCTCGGAAATGCAAAATTTTAGGGTGACCTTACAATTATGAAACGCACTGTATTTGGTAACACCCTGCTCTGGATGCTAACAATCAAAAGAATTTGCTGTCGGGACAGTAGTTGAGAAGGATAACCTCCAACTGTGGGCTGCGCACAACACAGAGCTGCGAGTTTTAATCGCATCTTCATTTCGTTATTCGTTACTCTTCCAGCCAGAGCTATTCTGACACGTTCAAAACAAACATATTACGTTATAAATCAGACAATAAAGGCCCATTAAAGACAAACCCCGGGACGCTACCAAGCTTGCATTGCGCAGATTTCGAAATTTTTACCCACTTTGGTGGATTACCAAAGGAAGACTGTACTAAGGACGTGCAACAAGGATTTATTACAACGTTTAGCACAAGTATCGACCTCAATAATACATTCACGGGGTTTATATACACAATATGTGGGCGGTCCTCAGATATCGTACCGTCGCTGGACCGTAGGGGGCCAGCGGTGGTACTCAAGTTTGGGGAATGAAAGAGCGGACCGCGCCGACGGCAGAACCTACTTGATTGCACACTTATGATACCGCCGGGTCATGCCTGCGGTATCATCTCAAGAGATACTCATATCAAGTTATGCCTATGGTTAATAAGTTGAACTAGCATGTTATCAATCATTTCTATGAATCCTAGTTATAACAGGAGTTATAGGTTGTGTATCCACAACACTGGGGCGGGGCGAAATGAAGCGGTAGCTGCAACTGTAATAAAGTCTAACAAAAATAAGTGACTGGCTCAGCACATCGTGAACTGAATGGTGAGATAGATTCTGTTTTGATATGACGACGATTGTTGGTCCACAACATGGGGCAAGGCGAAAATAAGCGGTAGCTAGAAGTACAATAAAGATCTATTTAACTTGAATTTTCTATGAACAATTAAACACAATATCTAAGATGAAAATGTTCCATATGATTGAGTGTTCCTTGCCGATGGCTGCTCCGGAGTGAGTCGACGGGGATAGGTGACCAATTTATTCTTGCTTGCTGTCCTGACTTCTTTTGGCGCAGTCAAAATTCTTTTCCGAAGTTGTGGCGGGTGATTCTCGGTCCCTCTCCGGTGCGATAAGGCCAGCATAGCAGAGCACGTACGGCAGACTTTGAACGAGCTGTTCGAACTTCATACAGTCCTGCTTCCTGCTACGCTCGTTGTGTGGCTTTGGTGGCGGTAGCGTCGTGGTGAGAATGGATCTCTAACACCGTTTCAATGGCTGAGCAGAACCTGTGTGGTGGGTCTTGTCGCCGATTGGACAAGCTCCTTGGCTCAGACCAAAATCTCGATGTTATGCCGGAGTCGAGAATGTGACCTCCGTGCATTTCGGCATGGTCCCATTGCCTGTGCATGATCTCGACCCATGAGTGCATGGATAATCATTCCCAGCACATTCCTGGGCGCTGCTTACCATCGGCGAGCTCAGGTGTAGGAACCTGGCGCACTGATGTGGTGAGTTGGCTTTCTCCACACAGACATGCAATGCCCTCATTCGATGCTTAGGGACTGCTTGTTCTTGTGGCGTCCATTCAACCTGTCCTCATGGCGTTGTTACTGCATGGCTTGACCCGTGTTTGAGTAACCGAATCAAACGTCATTGTTTTTAGCGCGGTATTATCTGAAGAGTTATAATTTCATCAACGCTTGAATGCGTCAAAGAATATCCTTCACTTCGAATGCTGTGCCACTTTTCGTTTTCTTTCTTGATTACTTGGGCTCAATATTCTCTTGAATTTTGAAAGAATAAGGCGTCCGCCATACTCTGTCTGGTTCATTGCGCATTCCAGATTTGCTCCAGGTGCATGATTCGAGAAGATATGGCACATGATGTACGCGGCAACTTCTCGAGTTTTCTTGTGGCCCTAGGCAGATGCCTCACATCTCGTATTATTAAGGAGTCCGGCTATGCCTGATGATCTATCGAACTGTTTCTGTGAGTATAATCAGAGCGCCTGTATTTTCTCACAAATGATGGAATTGCTGTTGATTGACGCACTGCCTTTCCTCTTTAGTGCTTTTTCGGAAAACAGGAATTTTTCTTGTCACCTCAATGTCCGTTATTTTGTGTAGAGAGACTCGAAGACTGACCAAAGGTATTGAACTCGCTAAGGCTCCAGAAAAGGTTGGGACTTTCGAGCAGAGGGCGTCGAACTCGTAGTTGCGGTCGTATGATGACAGTGTCACTCCGCTGTGAGAATTGTTCTGACTGCTATCAGCGCTGGTTGGCAATGCTAATGGCTTCCGCTATGAATGAAGCTTGCTGCATCAGCTCTTCCTTTCTGAAGTCGATCTTGCTCAGCATAGTATTAGTGAATTTCCAGACCATTGATTCGAGCTCCATGTGGTTGTTAAGCTCGAGCATTCAGCTTTTCTCGATCCTTCTTGCTCCGATCGTGACTAATTGTTTCGATCGCCTTTGTCAAGACAGGTTCGTGGAGCTTGCTTCGCCTTAGTGAATCGTTTTGTATCAAGTGGTTCAGCTGTGCTGTCTTTTCTCTTATATACACCTCGCATACCTCCTTTTGAGTTGGGAATATGAACGGGTTGTCCAAAAGCTTGAGATCTGACTCGCTTGAACGGATCAGCTTGTATGCATTCGTGATTCTGGTCTTAAACAATTGAATCTCAGCCATTTTTAGTGCTGGGGTTGTTTGAGATCGGTGGTCGTTGTTTATGCTTAGATTTGAGCACAAGTTGTTCGAAACCAGTGAGCGTCTAAACTGTTTGAAGCTTGAGCTCAGTTCGATATTTCTTTTGAAACACCTTGGTTTCGTGTAGGATGAATTTCCTGCCACGCGGGTCTTTTTGAGTTCCTCAGGGAGGAATTAGTGTGAAAACTCGACTTTTTTGACTAGTGATGTAGCCAAAATTTTGCCAAATTTCCGTGTTCCTCAGGGAGGACTTGTTCGAAAATTAGGTTTCTTCTGTTTTCTCGCTGGGGAGAAGTTGTGCAGAAGATGAGTGATTGTTTCCCGGTTCCTTATGGAGAACTCGCAGGAAAATTCCCGAGTTTCTTTCCAATTTGCTTGGAAGAACTGGTTTTTCTGCCCACCTTTTCTCGTTGTAGAGAAGAGGCTTGGTAGGTCTTTATGTTCAAGTCCTACTTCCTTCTGGAGGAGGTGTAGGAGGCTTGAAGTTTACCTTTCTTTTCTTACAAGAAGAAAATTTGCTTGAAAGGTTTTTTTGTTCCAGCTGGTGGAAAACAATGGAAGTGTCCTTCTGTCTCTCACTGGGAGAGCTAGCGCAGAAGGTTTAGTCTGATTTCCGTATTCCTCAGGGAGGAATAACTTGTGAAATTAGACTTTTTGACTAGTGATGTAGTCAAAGGTTTGCCAAAGTTCCGTTCCTCAGGGAGGAATTGTGAGGAAATTCGGCTGGTTGATGAAGTAGCTCACCTTCTGTCTTTCACTGGGAAAGCTAGCGCAGAAGGGATCGTTTCCAACGGTCGATGCACCAATTTGGTGGATTACCAAAGGAAGACTGTACTCAGGACGTGCAACAAGGATTTATTACAACGTTTAGCACAAGTATCGACCTCAATAATACATTCACGGGGTTTATATACACAATATGTGGGCGGTCCTCAGATATCGTACCGTCGCTGGACCGTAGGGGGCCAGCGGTGGTACTCAAAATTGGGGAATGAAAGAGCGGACCGCGCCGACGGCAGAACCTACTTGATTGCACACTTATGATATCGCCGGGTCATGCCTGCGGTATCATCTCAAGAGATACTCATATCAAGTTATGCCTATGGTTAATAAGTTGAACTAGCATGTTATCAATCATTTCTATGAATCCTAGTTATAACAGGAGTTATAGGTTGTGTATCCACAACACCCACCCTCCCTTTTGGAGGGTATCTGTAGGACCCTCTGCACTAGCTTTTGTGGCTTTTTCTAGGCTCACCATCGGTGTACGGGCCGTTACCAACATGGAGAAGCGGTGGACAGTGGTAAGTGCGCGCGCTTTATCTCGCTCAGAAGACGGAAGCGAAGCAATAGGAAAGTTCGTTCTTTAACTAGGAGTACATAATTCGAAAATTTCTGCATAACCCTTAAATGATGGCAATTGAAAGAGTTCTACTTTAAGATACTAACCAAATTTTTTTCGAACTCGCAGATCTCCTTTTTTATGAACTGAATAGCTGAAACTTGCAGCAGTTACGTTGTGATGCGAACCTCTTCAATCGCAAGGTTACATCTTCTTTCAAAAGTGGTCTCATGAGATGAGACATAAAAATTCAAAAAGTTCGATTTGTTCTTTTTTAAAAACTTCTTAAACTTATGCAAATGTTCAATTCTTCAAAAAATCGGCCCGTTGTTCCCTTTTTTGTGCGCACGCAAATTTTCATCATTTGAACGTCTATAACTTCCTTCATTATTAATTTTTTTGCAGATTTCTCTTGAAAGCTAATTAGAAACTAGAAGATTAGTCTACTATGATAAGATTACTAGAACTTCTGAAAAAGTACCGGATATTTTTCCGAAGGTCAGTTTCTCGAAAAATAGTCTCTTGTTCCGTTTTCCAGGGACTTGTGGTCCGATTTTTAAGAACGCGCAAGTTTTCGTCATTGAAACGTTAATATGTTCCTTTATTATTAATTTTCTGCAGATTTTCAAAGCTAATTAGAAACTAGAAAAACGGTGCTTTCAAAAAATATCAAATTTTTTTTGAGTGACCAACTTTCAAAAATCGTCCTGTTGTTACTACTTCTCCTTTGCGTTAATGGTTTGTTTTAGACAATTCTCCTGAAACGTGAGTTTTCAACCTTCAAATGGTATATGTTTCTTCAAAATAGGTACACTGAGACGCTGTAAAAAGCGTTGAAATCTGCATGATCAGTTCTTATAGCCCATGCTAGATAATTTCTGAAGGGAAACCTATCTCCTACCATAGATTTCTAATAGCACTCCTGAAGTCAATCAGCAGAATTCGCACTTTCATCATCTTTCAATACACTTCATCCACTTAGATTTGGTCTAGAAACATGGACGTTTCTTTGAAAGAACTTTTTTCCCTTACCTCACAGAGACATGAGTGGGAAATACATTTTACTGGGAAATTCCGCTCTTGAATGCGCCGTTCAACCTTCTGCAGTGCGTAATCGCAGTGGTAGTCAAAAGTCTGCTCCCCTTTACCATTTAGCCATGCCTCTCCACCTTCATATCTTGTGATTTTACTTGAGTTCACGGCACCGCCCCATTCCGTTGACCAAATACGACCCCCTCGTTCTTCGATGCACAACGGATGATTGGCCCTGCCCCGGGATAAAACTGATATACAGGGGGGCCAAAAAAAAGACATTTTGCCTATGTCGGCAAACTTCAGGCTCGGTTTTCTTCGCCAGAGATTGCTGTCGTTGACGCGGTTCCTCTAAAAAAAAAAAAAAAAAAAAAAAAACAAACAATAACAGAGTATTCCTATGTTCCTCTTTAGTGCTACGAGGCTCTCCCTCACTGCCGCTACCGTCTTCAGAATATGACGTCATCTGTCACCGGTCGTCAGGCTCAAGGAGGTCTACGTAAGAGCTTCAGCCTGAAGCTCTTACGCAATTTCGTAAATCGATTTAATGTTGGATACTTTCTAGAGGCGTTAACTCCACTATACAATCCTCTCGAAACGAGCTTCCAGTAAAGGTCGTTGTGGTACCCGATCCTTCGGAGACCCCGTTGAATCGACAGTGCACAGTTCCAGGCTAATTCTTCTGATGCCGTCCACGTACGTGGCCACTATGAGATTTTCTTATAGAATGGAATGCACTATTTAATAATAAGTTGGAACCGTTCGGTCTGATTGAGTAAAATGTGCTTAAATCCATCTGGATGTGGAGGCAAAATGTCTTTTTTTTTGCCCCCCCCCCCTGTATAAGCGCGCACCATAGTGATGGATTTAGCAAATGTAAGCTGCAAATGAACTGAAAATAGAAAAGGAAGCGAAAGGCCATCGGAAACGCTAAAATTACGGCATTGACCTCCAGTAAGGCATGTAGTACGGCGGCAAGACAAAGCCGTCAGAGAAGAAAGAACATGCGAGAGAGCACGTCGTTTGAAAGGGCGCAGACCTCCACATCGATGCGGTGGCCGGGAAGCGTTGCAATACGGACCGATGGTTGCAGCCTCCTAAAGATTAACGCCCTAACTTCGCATTGTATGGAGAATACTACAAGTTCCTATACGGTATCCTTCCTGCTACTGAGGCCAATTTTGCCATTGAGAGTTAATCGTCTCTCACGCATTTACGCCCATGATGATCTCTGCACTGCAACCTTGAACACCCCTAGGCTAGAACTATATCCTCGTTGAACTTTATCCAGCGAATGGTTGAGCCTGCCAAGCGCTCCTAAAGTTCCACGGCATGCTCATTCAACTTGATCCCACGGTAGTTGGGGCACTCCATTGCGTCAACATTTGCTTGAGGATGGGAACGATAGCATACCTCTTTTCAGGTGTCTGGCACTACCGTGTACGGGAAGCGGAAGTCTCCCATATGCTTTCCAGAGACCCTTGGTGTCTCACGGCATTCAATTTGGAACTGCCGCATTCCAGCTTCATCTTCTGTATTCCTAGTGTAAGCTCGTCGTCATCGACGACGAGCTTAGACGAATGATGCAGAAAGTTGCTTTATGGCTGAATTCTTCGTTTGAAGTCTAGTGAGATTCTTTCCGTCTCTTCCTGACTTGCTTTAACCTGGAAATGTGCTTTCGCCGCCTTACACTCTTCACTCTCCCGATGTCTTGTTGGACCTTAGCCAGTCTGCGGACAAGCTTTTCTGCTTTCTAACTTCACTAGAGCTTACATACTTCTCACAGTTAGAGCTCACCCTTCTCACCTTCAGTGGAATCAGTTTGACGTGGTGCGGTGTGCACAGGCACTATTGCTGAATATCCCTCCATTGTGTATGTCTTCACAGCCACAGCTCAACGGTGACCTTGATCACAGCAGCATATTCCCTGAGAGACCTCGAAACCGCCATGCCACATTATTTCATTTGGTGTCTTCTCCTTTATAATAGAGCTCAACTTTTCTATTCCCTTGACGTTAGCTCCTTTCCATCGTTCCTTCTGGGCATAGAATTTGGACGCTTCAGATCTTCATCGGACCGGCTACCTCGCTTAAAGTTGGTGAATTTACATTCATACAACTCGAACACACTCTGCTCTTTTGGCCAAGGTCGTTCGTTACTCGATAGCCCTCGCATGCTGACCACAGGACTCGTGCAAGGGCTGTGCGCTCAACTTTTGGGTGACGTTATAGCATTATCAATAGCACTTTTGTGATTTTAGACATGGTTTATGTGACGGGGATCTCGTCAGTCGAACTGCAAGCAAGAATGGTTGTGTAGCGGCGCGGATCGAGCCCGCAGCGCGCAGAGCTGCACTCACATGACAATAAGCCCCCACTATCCCGCCTTTCCTAGGTGGATACTATTGTCCTAAAGGCCCGTGAGTATCGTGAGTATCGTGATTATCGTGAGTAAAATGTCGAATCGCTCAAACGAGGATTTCATCAGTATAGACATTCCACAGTGAAGAGGATCTCTCTACTGCGGAATGTCTGTACTACCATGAACCCGAAGAGTGATATATTAGTGATTCCCCGTACCTACTGTGGTGATGACAACTGTGGCGAAATAAAACGCTCCAGAGAACTGCCACTGGAAGCCGGCCTTGTGCGGAATGCTCTTGATGGCAACTGACTCGAAAAGTTGGAAGTCTCTGAAAGCAAGAGGGAAGTTTCTGAAAGCAAGAGCGGTCTATTTGCACTATTTGCATTAGTGGAAGCGCCGAACTACATCCTTGGAAGTAAGTACAAGATACCAACCTTTGGCTAAAATTGTACTTTCTCTGGAGTTTCTCGCGAACGAGTGCGATTTCTTCTCGGACATAGCTTTCCGTCTCGCTTTCCAAAAAATCGAATACCGCCGCTCCCAACAGTAGGTATGTGAATGTCGTCAGGATTAGCATCAGAGCCCGTGACGACTTCTTATCCACTATGGCCTAGAAATACAGGGAAAAATCATGGCATAAAATACTTAGGAGAAGAGATGGATGTTTAAAGCCTTACGAAAAACCGACATCAATTCATATTGTTGGGTCATCAGTAACTTCGGATGCCGAATTCAACATTTTCTAACATTCTTCAAGCAAACTTGAATTTGTGCTATAACTGTCGCTGCTGCCTACAACTCTCCATCCATCCAAAAATGGAATTTTTGCAGGTTTACTACATTTTCCACCAGTTAGTAATATAAATTCAATCAGATTGCTCCAACGGAAGCAGTCATCCATTGAAGTGCTTGATCAGTAGCTAAAAGAGAAAGTACTGTCCATATCCGACATGTTGAGGGGGCCGTCCCACGGACTCTCCAGTGCTGCGGCGCAACTGCGAAGCAATGGAACGTTGCCGTTTCATAGCGAATCATAGTGGTGGAGGCGGGTGGTTGGCAATACGTCTTTTCGTCTGCACTCCTCCGCATCCATACTATCCCATCAGTACGGCATAGCCTTTCCATCTCCGCTCTCGCCACTTTTCCGTCTGCACTCTCGCAGTCTGCCGATCAACCGAAAATCGTTAGCTGTTTCGTGCAAAATTCAACTAAATTTTGCTAATGTTCCTAATTGCGCGCTTTCTCTTTACAGGTAAGTAGTTTGAAAGATCATAATTTGCTTCTGCATTTTTTTGAACAATTTTAAGTCAACTGTTGCCTTATTATTAGCAATTCTGCTTGTTTTGTGAAGATTCCCTATTTTTTCAATGTTTTTTCTTACATTCATCTTCACAAACATTGCCAGGGAATGTTCCCGGCATTAACAGGAACATTTCAATGACAATGCTATAAAAATGAAGTTCATTAGAAATTAATTAAAAGAATTAAAAGAAAAATTCATGAGAACAACACAAAATACGCATAACTGCTACGAACGAGGCAACTGTTGACATAAAATCATTCATAAAATATGTGGAAACAAACTAGCATTTTTAAAAATACTTACCGGTGAAAAAGAAGGGCGCAGTTGAGAATATTAGCAGAAATTAGTCGGATTCAGCTCTAAACAGCTGAAAATTTTTGATTAATCTGCAGACGTGGCGAGAGCGCAGACGGAAAGGCTGCGTCATACTGCTGAAATAGTGTGGATGCGGAGGAGTGCAGACGACAAGACGGATTGCCTGCAACCCGTTTTCACTACTAAGATTCGCTAAGGATCTCAACGTTCCATTGCGGCGCAGTTGCGCCGTAGCGCTGGAGTCCGTGGGACCGCCCCCTCAACCGGTCGGATATGGCCTGTAGATGAGAGCGCTGGTCACAGTTATGCATTTTCTAGGGACGTCGCTGCTCCTGATTATAGTAGGGCCTGAATTCAAATTAGGGGTGTTTACAGCTTTGTTGATTTATCACAGCTCTGGATGAAATGTTATTGATAGACGCGATTAAATTTGAGTTAGAGAAGCATTGATGCAGTGTGCCCAGCACAAAACTGGCCTTCTTTAAGAAGTTTATTCCACATCGCCACTGGAGTAAATAACCTACGAAGTCGGAAAAGAACCGCCAGTCTCAAAGAAAAGAACCTCAGAGAGGATCCGAAGACCCGTCACAGCAATAAGCCATTTGGCTAGAAGTACCACACCTACATCATTTTGAGACCCAACTTGGCCTTATATAATATATATAGCTTGACACTTCAAAATTCTTGCTCGACTTTATAGCGTTTTTTTTTCATTTCGACGTCCACTCTCCATCTCCTGGTGCTTTTTTTGCGTGTCCAATTCCCCTTCATAACCAGGCGGAGATCTCGCCTTCCAACACACGGTGCTGTCTAAACCATTTCCGCGGTTTCCATTCGTCCCTTGGCTAAAGAATTAAAGCTGGTGGAAAAGCAAGCAGAGATGTTCCCTGTTACCATTGCTTGTTCTGTTTCCTGAATTTGTTCACAATGATTCATCGACCTGTACGATTGCTGGAATCTCAGCAACTTTATTTTTTCAGTATTATAGTAATACCAGAGTTCAAAAAGGACAACAACCTCGGTGACGCAGCCACTAATTCCACTTATTGACTGCTCAGATTTGTAGGAGCGTTGATGGTTTTCACATGAGTGGTTCGTCAGAGATGAGGTTTGTTCAAACCGAAGTGATGGCATCATTATAACGTACGACGGTAATGCCTGCAATGATTAACGCCGGCTCTTATGAGTAGTAGAACGATCGCTCATGCCAATTTTCCGGAAACTGTAAGAAGTGGTTCCTAATTTTCTATCAAACACATGAACTTCCGGAGTGCACAAAGCAGCTATACACAAAGGATATGAATGCTCAAAAAGCGGTTCTGTTATTTACCATTATTAAATTTATAATTTCAACATCAGAAATAGTAAGATTTTAGATGCAAATTATTTTGCCGCTTCAAGTATGGGGTAGCAATCGGAGTAGGGACATTCGTCCGTTCGTCAAGGTTTATTGGAGACGGAGAGTCGTATTTGGCCAGTGGATGATGGGGTTTCGTATTTATTTCGTATGCGGGTTGATGTCGCAATGTGTGGAGTTCTTAACGGGTGTGGTGGGAAGACACTTAAAGCTATAATGAATCTAAACGTGTGACAATGTTCTGCCTGAAACGGGAGGGAAAATGAAGGAATGTTAGCTAGCTATAATATGAGCTGACATAAGCTTGTCTCGTTAGGCTTACTTTAGCAGCTTACACGAATGAAATCTGGATAGTTGGCTGTCACGACTGTAGATAAGGTGTGTAAGGTTCAAATGCTTCTGCTACTCTTGGCATAGGATTGCCTGACGCATCACTGAGCAGGAGCAGTTCCTGCAGAGCGAGATTGATTGTATGAGGGCACAAATATCGCTCCACCAAAGACTCGACACTGCTTGCAAATAAGGCTTATGCAAAGAAAAGAACGAACACCTAAGTGTATTGTCTTTCCAATAGTCAGAAAAAAATTTTGGGAAAGGAAAGACTCGTGGATCAGTGAGTTCTTAGGATGCATTTATTACTCAGGTAGACTTGCAAGCGAAGCCTCAGAGTTACGGGTGCAGGTGTCGGCAGCATTTGCTGCCAACACGCCCACTCGCCCGTGATTGGCTACCACCACACGGGTGGGAGACGGTCGTAAGACGCGTCCCTTCACAACAACTTTGCCAGCGGGACGCATGGACTGTACAGGGTGGGCCAAAATTATCAGGACCAAGACATTGTGTCGTTAAAAACGCAAAGTAGCTTTAGACAGGGTCAACCGTGGCGAGAGTGAATGCCGGCGCGGAGAGTGGTGAACATCGGTCCAACGTCGCTCCAATATCGGTCCAACGTAACGGTTGACCCTGGCTTTAGATGGAACAAACACGCTTTAGGAGGTGTTTGTAACTCTTATCTCAAAGTAATTCCAGTAACCCTCCCCCCCCCCCCCTAAAATGAGCCTTCAGATGAAGGGTGTGGTGCGTACGATGGTACTCAACTGAGGCGTGTCAAAGTATTTCCAGGTCTTCTGCTGTGCGTTCTTAACCCATTCGCGACAATGTCAGCCACCGGTGGCTGACGCGAAGATGTCCACTTCGGACCATGTCAGTCACCGGTGGCTGACGGGTTTTAAATGGAATTTTTGAAAACAAAAGGAGGTCTTGGGGAGATTTTCTTTGCTGTGAAGTATCTTCATACCCTCATCTATCTAGGCCACCCCTGGGCAAAGGAAATCTCTATCCACTAGAATTTTATTGAAGAAAAAATAACCTGACTTCCGAAAAAGTTGAAAATTTTTTTCCGCTGAAACTTCTCCCATGGGGGTTTTCGAGGGTTCTGATCTCAAATATGATATCCATTTTTAGCGCTGGCGCCAATTGGCGCCATTTGGCGCCAAGGGTGTCTTCACCAAATTCGTTGTAAACTTGCGTATGGGGGTCATTTGAGGCCCTGATTACGAATATGACATTAGTTTTCAGCGCTGGCGCCAAACTGGCGCCAGTTGTCGCCAAGGGTGTATTCACCAAGTTCGCTGTAAACATGCGTATGGGGGTTATTTGAGGCCTTGATTACGAATATGACATTCGTTTTAATCGTTGGCGCTATTTAACACCTGTTTCCTGCTCGCCTGCACCTTCTCACTATTGGATCCAATCAGGACTAACAAGGGAGGTCGTTCAGGATGTGGAAAGCTTTTTCGAAACGGTTTTCTGTGAGTTATGGGAGCTCATGCGTAGACTAGAAACCGTGGTCTATTTTCGCTGAGCAGCCCCGCGAAGGCCAAAAAGGTGAAGAAATGGTCCGAGGTTCAATCCCTCATAATGACAAAATTTTTGCATTTAGGTTGGAGCTTCCCAATTTGCTCTAAAAACACCAGGAATAGATATAACGATCATTATAAAGACCATCAGTAACTAGTGCTTTCAGATTTTCACCATAATGTGGCGGAAAAAAGTTGTTACGCCAGAGGGGCGCCGAATGGCGCCGTAGCGCAAATTGGCGTAGCAAGTGGCGTAAATTTCGGCATTTAAAAAAAATTGAATCTCATATTCGTAATCTCAAATAACCCTAACCCTTATATACATGTTTACATCGAATTTGATGAAATTCAGTCATGGCGCCATCTTTCGCCAAATGGCGTCAATTTGGCGCCATTTGGCGCCAAAATGAATCCAATAATCGTGATCAGGACCCTTGATAACCACCGTAGGATAAGTTTCAGCGTGAACTAGGGACGGCATATAGAAAAAACTAAAAAAAATACAAGATGGATTTCCCCTGGGACAATGTCAGCCACCGGTGGCTGAAATTGCGCAATCGCCTCTGCCGGCGCTGGTCCGAACTCGCGACCGGGCAGTCTTCGAAAATCCCGCCCGGTCGCGAGTGGGTTAAGGGGATCAAGGTTCTGTTAGCCAGTTATTTGTTCCCCTTCCAGGGTGTAAAATACAGAAATTCAGAGCTGTTAGGGGAAGGTTCCATTGTACTTGCTTTATTTTCATCAAATTTAAAAAGTTAATAGGGCAGACAAAACTAGAAAATTTGTTCTATTCGACGGTTATTAGAGCAGCTTAATACGTCCATTATTAAAAAATGGTGAAGTCGAGAATTCTTGCAAAACTAACGAGGAAAATTCGTGGTGAGTGCGAGTTTTTACACTTTCCAAAGCCATAGCTCCGTTCAACTTCGTCCAATTTTAAAAGTTAATACATCATCAAAAACTAGGAACTTTGCTCTATTAACAATTGTTGGAATAACTGATAAACTCATTATTAAAAAAATGGTCACGTCGAGGATTTTTGCCCGAGTTCCGCCGAAAGGTACTTTTTCGCTGCATTGACTTTCTTTCAACGACTATAGCTTCTTTCAGGGACGATGACTTTCTTCCAACGACTTTAGCTCCTTTCAGCGACGATTATGTGCAAAAGCGCAGATTCCGAATCCATGTGCTTCTCACTTTCCAATGAGTGTAAAATGTTTAACGAATCTCAACTTGAAGGAATACATGCTTATTTTTGCCAACATTTGTGACAGTTTCGCGGGGCGTTCTTTAACAAGTTTAAATACTTGATTTTCTTTTAAAAATGAACGCAACTTTTCCTGTTCTGAAAGAAGAGCTGAGTGATTTACTCAATTATTTCGATATTTAGTTTATTAAAGCTATTCCATGAGGCGCTCGATGGAATTGATCTAAATGGAAGGAATTCGACATCGTAATGACCAGCACCAGCTGGGAAACCCAGCGATGTCTTTTTCGATGTGTCAGAAAGAAGCGCAGTGCTCAAATACTTGCTGACCATTTTTCGTGGAATTTATTCTCCTTTAGTTATAATTACAGCGAGCGAATTTTGCTAATCAGAATGCTCAGACAAATTGATGGAATCATGAATTCAAAGCTACAAGTTTTCGTAACTTCAACGTAGCTTATTATAGAACTCAAGAAGCTAAATCTGACAAGACAACGAGCACTATAGAGGATCCACTTTGGTCGCAGCTACAACAGATTGCTACAGATTTGCGGCAGATTGGTCATTGATTTCCCAAAAATTTTGAACATTATCGTATAATCTCCTGGAATTCTGAATAATTGTCCCTTCGGTATATCTTCGCGAAACCAATCATCACTAACACCACAACCTTCGACAACGAAAATTCTGGAGAAATATCATGATCATGATATGATTAACATGCTATCACCTGAACTGCGATCAGAGACTTATTTCAAGGCTCAAGAATGCTATGCAAGTATGCAGGCAGCCCTCAAGAAGAAGAATTTTTGGAAAATCCAATGATTAACACCGTAAAAGAAGAGTTCATGTTAGAATAGCAAAAACGTATGCGAACGGCTGACATTGCCATGTTTCTTTTGTTACCATCTTTTCCTCGACCGTTTTCAATCATGGCTATCATTTATATGACGAGTGAATGCAGTGTGTTTACGTTTACACAAACGGCAATGGTCAGGGGAAGGGGAAATATATTTACTATTTTCTTACTGCTTAACATATTTTAGAAAAAAAAAGAATTCAGGAGAATCTAAAACTGAACTCTTGAACGAATCGTACTTTCATTTCTCTGCGCACTTCCTCGGGAAGAAATCCTACTGTTCGAATGCTAAACAATACAATTTCGAAATTGACGTCCTCTCTTTCTCTGCTCATGAAATTTGGCAAGAAGGACAATGGCCTTACTTTGTATAGATAACGTACTGTAGAGAATAGCAATGTTCCTTGTTCTAAATCAACAAATCGGAGGAACAATAAAAATTTGAATTCAAAAAGGGCTCAAGTGGTTTGAAAATCATGAAATTCGGTAATAACAGCCTTTTCGTTCGGCCGAAATTTCTATTGAAAGGCGTCAGCGAAATTCTAGTTGAGAACTGGTATTTGCTGAGGGCTCGATGTCAAATTGAGTCGCAAGCCAGCAGAAGCCTCGCCTAATGAACTTATTGGGAGCACATCATGAGTCGTCGCATTTAAATGCAACTCGATCAAATACTGCGTTAAGGGCATCGTTTTCGGTTTTCTCTCTGACGATCAGAGTGCGAGTAATTCGATAAAATAACCGGGATAACAACAAAGTAAAGTAAAAGGCTACCGGTTCCTAGGCTCAAGCTAGCACCTTCGTATTCAGACTTTATCTTGATTACTTTTCCTTTTGCAACAGTGTCGTCATTTTCAAGAG